ATCGCGTCCGTCTCGTATTTGGTTCTCCACTGGGCCACTTCGCTGTTGGCCTTGGACAGGGCACGCTGCAGCTCCCCCTTGGCTTCCTGCTCCTCCTCATACTGTTCCCGGAGCAAGTCACAGTCATGGCGAGCAGACTGCAAGGCGTGGGCCAGAGCGTTCTTGGCCTGGGGGAAAAAGAGTATTGTGAAAATGAACGGAAATATCGTGGGAAATCTCCTGACTGAAATGTTGGTGGATGCTGGATTGTTCTGCTTTGAGTGATGGCAGGCTACTGAATACAAAAGGAAGGAAGATCTGTGAACCTGCAAAAAAATTAATGGATAGACTGTAGGGAAGGTGGAGCAAACCTAATATGGGAAAACTTGCACTTCATTACCTAAGTGGTTTTTTTTCTCCCTCTCATCTTGTTGGTTCTGTAATTTCATATATATCTCAAGCTTCTCCCAGACAGGAGGAATCCACTGGGTAAGGCAGAATTTGGAAAGCCTTCTCACCTTTATCTCTTCCTCTAAGTGCCTCTTGAGTTCCTCAATCTGCTGGGTGAATGCCTGCTTGCCTCTTGACAGCTGAGAAATTAGAGCATCTTTCTCCTCCACCTGCCGTGAATATTCACCTGGAAAAGTTCAGATGAGTAAAAAACCCTTTTTATGACTTATTTAAAAGTGTTAACCTTGATAATTAAATGCACATAAAAATATTTTGAGTTAAACAAGATTTTATTTCTTTCATGGAATCCTAACCACTGACACCTATCCATATCTCTGAGTATGCCAAAATATTCATCTTAGAGACGAGAAATGAGATACATTATATCCCCTTGGCCAACATCTGACTAGTCTGACTGTATATTTGCACTAAGTCCAGTGATCATTTCAAGCCCTGAGCTTACAGAATGGTGTCTGTGCTCAGGTATATCACTGTCCTCTCCTAGCCTGTGTGATAGATGAATTCTTCTTTGAAACTCCAGTCATAGAATCATAGTACAGTCCAGGCTGGAAAGGACCTTGTAAGGTCATCCAGTCCAAGCTTTCATGAGAAAGGTAGCCTAGATGAGATTATCTAGCGCCCTGTCCAGTCATGTCTTGACACTTCCAGTGGCGAGGATGATACCACATCCCTAGGGATGTTGTTCCAGTGATTAGTTGCTCCAGTCCCTTAATCATGTTATTGGTCCTGCTCCAGTATCTCTGTATCTCTCTGGTACGAGGGAGCCTAGCACTGGACACAGCACTCCACGTGTGGCCTCACCAATGCTGAGTAGGGGGAAGGATCACCCTCTGCTAACCTCCTGGCAACACTTCTCAAAAATGCAGCTCAGGATTCTGTTGGCTGCCTTTGTCGTAAGAGCACGTTTCTGGCTTATGTTCAACCTAGTTTCCACCAACACCCTCAGGCCTTTTTGACCCCTTTTTTTGAAGTCCCAGGTTATATACAGTGTCATCTAAAAAAACAAATGTCTTACCAGATTCTGTTTGTAGCCGAGCTCTCTGAGCACTTATGTCATTAATTGTGCGCTGTTGTTCCTCCTCCTTTGTCTTAATCTCACTGAGCTGATCTTCTAGGGAGCGGCACATCTTCTCCAGATTTGCCTATTTGCATGAGGAATGAAGGATGGTCAGTGATTCAACACATAATACTGAGAATCTGAAGCCTTGCTAAGGCCAAGAAAAGAAGCCAATGATGTAGAAGTAAAGTGAAAATGTCTCAGTTAACTGACATATTGTTCTATGAAATTGGCATCCCTAATTCCAAATTTCGTATTATTTATTAATGTACACTCCATTTTTTCAATAGAGAAGAAAGATGATATGACACTAACATGAGGAATTATGTTAAATTTCTGTTTGGCTCTTAGTGACTATGTCATTTAAGTATTTAAGGAAGGAAAAGAAAAATAGGAATATAAAGGGAAGGGTAGGTTAGGAGTAAATTCTACTTTTGAAGAAACCAAAAAACTGATAAGGTTAGTGTCTTTAATTTCACTGTCATAATATTCTGAGCCAAGCAATGAGATCCTGTAGTTCCTTAGGCTAGGTGCTTAAAGGGAAGTATCATAGCTCTCACCCAAAAGACACAATATGTTATTACACAGATACTGAAATATATAAATGCAAATTCAAGTTGTAAAGTGCAACTATTTATTTTAAAGTATGACTAACTTAAATTTCTGTGTTAAAATATAGATACCTGATTATGTTTGAATTACTACAAAGAAAGATTTCAGTACCTTGGCTTTGGAGACAGACTCCATGTTACTGGCCAAGTCGTCAATCTCCATCTTCAGCTCACTCTTCTCCTTCTCCAGCTTCTGCTTCACTCGTTGCAGGTTGTCGATCTGCTCCCCAAGCTCAGCTGTGCTGTCCGCGTGCTTCTTCCGCAGTGCAGCAGCCGTGGCTTCGTGCTGCAGCGTGGCCTCTTCGAGGTCACGACGCATCTTCTGAAATTCTGCCTCACGCTTCTTGTTCATCTCCATCTGAGCTGCGGTAGCCCCTCCTGCTTCTTCCAGGCGCTCGCTGATCTCCTCGAGCTCCCTTGAGAGGTCAGCCCGATGCTTCTCTGCTTTTGCCCGAGAGGTTCGCTCTGCCTCAATTTCCTCCTCCAGTTCCTCAATACGCGCCTGGGGAACATTAGGGACCCTTCACACCCATGTCCTCCTCCTTCCTGACCTGTGTCTGGGTGAGAGAGGGGAAGGGACAGAGACTTGCCTGCAGCTCCTTGATCTTCTTCTGTAATTGCATGCCCAGGGCTTGCTCATCCTCGATTTTGCTCTGGATCTGGCTGATTTCAAAGTCTTTCCTTTGGGCAAAGCAAAAGGTGTTAGAGCTCACAGAGAAAAGACAAGTGCACCAGCCCAGCACTCAGGTGCCCAACAGCCCCACTTACTTCTTCAGTTTCTCATCCAGCTGCTGCTTATCATTTTCCAAATCCATTATGGATTCCTGGTTCATCTTCAGGTCTCCTTCGAGTTTCCTCTTAGCTCTCTCAAGGTCCATGCGCAGTTTCTTCTCCTGCTCCAGGGACCCTTCCAGCTAAACACAACAAGACCATAGGTGATCCAGCAGCCAGTTCCAACTCCATACCTGTCCTCTTCTTGCTGTATGTCTGTGGGCTTACATCATCCACTTGCTGCTCCAGCTTGGTCTTGGCTTTGGTCAGCGTATTGACTTTGTCTTCTTCTGCCTGCAGGTCATCCAGTGTCTGCTGATGGGCCTCTTGGAGGGCCTTCTTCTCTTTAGTCAGCTTGGCGATGGTCTCGTCCCGGGCTGCCATCTCCTCTGTGAGGTTTTTCACCTTTGAGAAGAAGAAAACAACCTTGTTACAAGAATTGGGAATGGATCTCTTTTCCTTGAATGTGTGTCACAGAATCTGTTGTATACCTTGTTTTCAGTGGCATGTTTTTCCTTCTCAACCTTGGCCAGTGTTAACTCAAGGTCATCAATATCTTTCTTCAGCTCTGAACATTCGTCCTCCAGTTTCCTCTTCTTGGCTGTCAGTTCAGCATTCATCTCTTCTTCATCTTCTGCTCTCTCTGTCAGCTCCTTAATTTTAGCTTCCAGCTGGATTTTGGTTTTGATGAGTTGGTCACACCTTTCCTCAGCATCAGCCAAACCATCAGCTTCCTACACATGATTCATGATGATAACGTATTAAAATTATATGGTATATAAAGTTGTATAAAGATGTGGCTGTAGGTTTCCATGTAAGATTTAAAGTACTGTAAACAGTAGTATTTACCGACTGGAAATTGATTACTCCTCTCTTGATATAAATGCCTATGAAACAAGCTGCAATAATTCATTGTAAATTTATTAATAATTGGAGATTTCGGCATAGCTTTTCTGTGTGGTTTTCCTTCCTATTTTATGAAATACATGTATGTTTTTACAATACGTACGGTTTTGGGACAATGTGTCTATTACAGAGACATTTGGGATCATTTTACACAGGACATTTAAAGCCAAATTCATTAACAATACTCACAGCCTGCACTTGGAGCTGCAGATCGTTTTTCTCCTGCAGCAAAGAAACCATTTTCTCCTCCAGCTCCTTCCTCTTGGCCTCAGACTTTGCAAGCTCTTCCTTGGTTTTCTCAAACTCTTCCTTCATGTTGGCCATCTCCTTCTCAGATTCTGCGCTCTTCAGCAAGGGCTTGATCTTGAAGAACAGCTTCATCCAGGGCCAGTGCTTGACATTCATGAATGCACGAACATTGTACTGGATACAGAAGATGGACTCTCTGAAAGGTAATAAAATATATTATGTTGTTTATTTTTAAATTTGTAATACATATTTAATTGTATATATTGATATGTATAACAAAATTCTACATATAATACTATATAATTTACATTCTATAGATCTTTGTGTGTATAAAATATATACTATATATCAATATTATATTTTATTAATAATCTTTAATATATTATATATATATATAATATATAGCTGAAAAAAGCTCCCTAGTTTGATGTAGATCGTTAACCTGTATGAATAGTTTTGAAGTCCATATATTTGTCTCACTTTCGTAGTCAAAAAAAAGGAACACCTCCAGAAGCTAACTTGGTCCATTTCATGAAAGTTATCCAGGGGAAGAGGATAGTTCTCTTGTGTTACAAGTACGTGTTTCTCACCTTATGATTATAATGGTAACCTAAAATAATTAGCTTAGACTAGATACCTGATTTGTGGACATACATATAATGCAGCCATTTACTGAATTAAGCAAAAATTAGAACAAAGAGTGATTTAAGTTAAAAACAATTTTTTTCTTTAAATCGGGTTTTTGTACTGCTTCATCTGCTGCCAGGGTATACTCCCAAACACATCCATATTGGTGAACTGAATTAATGAGAAATAAATGAGATTTGGAAAGAAGCATCCTTTTTTCAGTTTTGTTCATGTCATTGGTATCTGATAAGGATTGGCCCAGGAGGCCAAATAAGTATAAGTATCTACCTCCTCTCCATCATTTTCTTGAACTCCACTCTCATCAGGAAGCCCCTGCACATGGCCTGTGTGCGGGTGATGAGCTGTGCCAGCTTCTCATCCCTCATCTCCTCCAGGAGTCCCAGCAGCCCAGCTTTGAAGAACACCTTGAGAAAGAGAATGTTGCAGTACATAATTGTCAGGTATTGCAAGCACAGTACATCAATGAACCAGCATTTGTACCTTGGTGTGGCCAAATTTGTACTGGGTGTGGTCCACATCGATTGACCCAAGGAGCTTCTCAGAAGCCTTCTTGCTGTCAATGAACTGTCCCTCTGGGATGGCACTGGCATTGAGCACCTTGTATCTGTGAAATGAGAGAAAATGTAAATGAAGGCAACCATCTCAAGTCATAAGGTTATATTGTTTACTGAAATTAACATCACTCTTTGCAGCAGAATCAGGCTGAGGGAGTTGGAATTCCATCCGTTGTTTAGAGATAGAGTTATAATGAATCCCTAATCTGATAACAAAGTTAAGGAAACTGTTACTGTCTTTAGGTGATCAGTCATCGATGAAAAGAGGCCACTGATCTCCAGCCATTTCAGTCCAATACTTTTTTTACTTAAACTATGCTGTAGAAAATTGCTAGAGAGGAACATTGCTACCATGCGTATAGGAAGAAAGCATCGTCCCCTGAAACTTGCAGCTGATGCACATGGCCTGTGTGCGGGTGATGAGCTGTGCCAGCTTCTCATCCCTCATCTCCTCCAGGAGTCCCAGCAGCCCAGCTTTGAAGAACACCTTGAGAAAGAGAATGTTGCAGTACATAATTGTCAGGTATTGCAAGCACAGTACATCAATGAACCAGCATTTGTACCTTGGTGTGGCCAAATTTGTACTGGGTGTGGTCCACATCGATTGACCCAAGGAGCTTCTCAGAAGCCTTCTTGCTGTCAATGAACTGTCCCTCTGGGATGGCACTGGCATTAAGCACCTTGTACCTATGGGAGGAAGTAGAATATGAAGGTGGTCAGATTCCTGAAGTCTTAATCAAACCTGTACCAACTGATACCATTATTAAGATTCTCTAAAGGTGGATCAAAAGTGGAAGAGAGGTGAATAAGTCTGCACTCCGTTCCATTGTTTAGAAATCACATGTTCATGGGCAAACATGTTTTTAGGAAAAACATTGCACTTTCCTTAGTCCAGAAATTCTTTACACAGAATGGGTACTAATTTCCATGGGTAACTGCTGACATATTTCACATACCCTGTTATGCCTTATCTCAAAATGAGAACTTAATGTACGAGAACAAAATATGTGGAGAGTAGAAGCAATTCTTCACTCAAAATAGTGGCAGTATATGCTACCTGAGGTTTTTGCAGCTGATATAAAACATAAAGCAAGATCTTTTTATTTTATTTGTTTTTCCAACAAGTTAGTTGAGAATACCTTGCAGTTTTTTTATTCACATTTCTGTGCTGATGACTGCAAGTCATCTTACTTTGCTACTCAGAAGTTAACTAAGTCTAAGCTAGTCAACTTCATTTCTGGATAGTTAATTAAAAAATGCTTTGTATAAATGCCAAAATATGAATCAAGGACAGGAATAAATGATTGCCCTTTGAAAATGCCTGTTATTCTAGTTAGCTATAGAAAGAAACTGGATGACTGACTTGGACAATTGACTCTTGTATGACTAAAGATACATACAATGAACTGCTCCCATAACTCCCACAGAGTTAAAACAATTAGGAAATGCAAATTTTTCAGCATTGGTGGATATGGTGTAGGGCGGATGACATGGAATCTGACCTCTGTTTAAAGTCTGCATAGAGTATTCTGCTGGGGAATCCTTTCCTGCAAATTCTAATCCCTTCCAGCACGCCGTTACACCGCAGCTGATGCAGCACCAGCTCATGTTCCATGGCACCTAATAAATGACATAATGAATTGGTACTTCATTGTACTGCACAGAGAAGAACAGATTTATCGCATCTTTGAACTTTAACAACTTACCAGGTGTTTTAGTTTCATTAGGAATAAGGCATCGCACAAAATGGGGATGTGTGCTTCGTAGATTGCTCATCAGTTTGTTTAAATTTTCCTTAAGAGCAAGAGCAAAGACTCGGGTTTAAAAATGTCACTTATACAATCTCAATATTAGATGGAATAAAAACACTGCATTATAACCATGATTAATTGTTTGGGTTTTTTTACAGAACTTTCAGGCAGTTCTGAAAGAATACTTCCAAGGATTCAATGAGAATCCCTCTTTATTAAGAAGCACATTCTTTTATCCTTTATAAATATGAAATTTTTGTATATTAAATCAATCTAAAACTTTTCTGAAGTGAATTTTCTGTATTTTTTCACAATGTGTTAATATTTATAATGATTACTCTACAGTACCCGGAAGAGAGCTGACACAGTCTGGAAAGAAGACCCCTTCTTCTTGCCGCCCTTCTTGCCACCGCCACCACTCTCTAAACAATAGTATTTTTTTAAAAAAAGAAATGAACATCAAAAGCACACAGTTAGAATCTGAAGAACCTTGTGTGTTCCTCTTAAAAAAATAGAAAATATAATATGATCAAAATTTGTAAATGCATATTGTGTTTAAAGTTACAATGGGAGACTTGATTTTTTCAGATGATAACAGAATGAAATCCAATGACTTCAAGCTGAAGTTAAGAAAATGCAAACAGGAAATAAAATGTAACATTTTGCATAGTAAGATATTTAAGGAATTAAATAAATCACTAGTGAATACACCAAAAGCAGTCTTCATGTATCTTTACATCTAAGGATATCTATAAATTTAGCAGCATGTTTATACCTTTTATTGTCTTCCCTGCAGTATTTGGGAATGCCCCACATTGCAGAAATCTGGTTTGTCAGCTACCCTATGTTAATGTTGTGTTACAGCTGTCTGGTCTTAAAACCTACAGATGTATTAAGGTCTCTAGGGAAATATAATATCCTTTATTAGTCTGAGTGACTAAGTTCCAAAAAGTATATGAGGTTATGGGGTTTCAATTTTTGAAATGTAAATATAATTGGAAAATACTATTTCAAGATTCTTTTTTCTGTAAATTATAGTAGAAGTGATTTCAAAGAAATCACCTGCTTCTGCCCCACCAACAGAGGCAAAGAGTAAGGCCAGTGTCTTCAGGGATGATTTCTGGTACAGCCCCACAACAGTTTCATTCAGGGGGTCCTTGTTCTTCTCCAGCCAGCCAGTGATGTTGTAGTCCACCGTGCCAGCATAGTGCACCAGGGAGAAGTGGGCCTCAGCCTTGCCTTTGCCAGGTTTAGGCTTCTGGAAGTTGTTGGACTTGCCCAGATGCTGGTCATAGAGCTTGTTCTTGAAAGAGGTGTCAGTTGCCTTGGGGAACATGCACTCCTCTTCCAGGATGGAGAAGATGCCCATGGGCTGGAAGAAATAGCAACATGTGAAGAAAGAAAGTGTGGAAGCAAGAAGCAGAGAGAGAGTATATGAGAGGAATGGGAGATAAAAATTATACAAAACCCCGTCCTCAGAATGAGTAGTCTTATGTTTCTTCCAGAAGGGGCATTTTGTTAGTGGATATGCCATCAGTTATACAAAAACAAGCTCACCCGTAAGTTTCAGAGTTGGGATGTAATAAAGATCTTGCATGTAGAAATTCACTATGTGCATGTCAGTTGAAGACGGAAACGAAAATGAATGAAAGTAGCAGCATTCAGATGTAAGGAAGAGTTTACACTTCCTAAACACTTTTTCTTAGGTACAAGGTAGAAAATTTCTTTAAACATATTAAAATAGAAGTTGCCCAGTGTATTACTTGCAGAGCATGCATTAAAAAACAGACCCATTTGAGTGTGGACTCCAGAACAGTGACTAGGACTGAAATTTTTGCCCCACGTGAATCATATGTACTATGTGACAGAATCCCACAGGCATTGAAGTAACAGACAAATGAAAACGTATATCAAATGCTTGGAGCCCAGAAAAAAAACATGTTATTTGCTGCACTAATTGTGAGTGCCACACATTAGAGTGGTCTAATTTGAGCACAGAAGATTCCTTTTTACATTTTACATCTGGAAAACTATTTAGTGTGTAGGGCCCAAGAACCTTCTCAATGAGCTCAATGCAGGCAGCCAGGTCCATCCCAAAGTCAATGAACTCCCAGTCAATTCCTTCCTTCTTGTACTCCTCCTGCTCCAGCACGAACATGTGGTGGTTGAAGAACTGTTGCAGTTTCTCATTGGTGAAATTGATGCACAGCTGCTCCAGGCTGTTGAACTACAGAATGCAAAAGAGATTTACTTGTGAAGTTCAGTTCCAGGAACAGTTTTCATCTTCCAGTAGGTTTTGTTTTCAACCCATTAAGGCCTCCATGATTGGGATCCTGAATTTCTATTCATGGGACTGGACAGGCCCTTGCACTGTCTCAACACATTTCTGACCTCTGAAAAGAGTTGCAGAGCTTAGTCCAAGTCTGCATGAATCCGTCTACACTGCCAGTCTATTCTCAAGCATTCAGAGGGACTCTGGCTTCAGCATTAATAAAATTTTCATTCAAGATGGCATATTTTAACTTACTCAAAATGTGTCTATGCTATTACCTATCAGTTAAAAAATTTCCTATCAGTTTTCAATGCAACTTTCACTTCTACGTATGGTGACAGACATCTGCAAAAACCTTCAGCCTCTGTGGGATAATACATACTATAAGAACTAGAAGAGTGCCATTCCTGCGGGAATGTCAAGATTATCCAAAAGATAAAATCTATCCATAATTTAAAAACAAAAAAACCCCAAACCAAAACCCAAACTATGCCAGTTTCTTAATGCCCTTTCCAGGAAACTTGTATGAAGATCCTCCTCTTACATCAAAGATCTCAAAGCCAGCAATGTCCAGGACACCAATGAAGTACTGTCTGGGTTGCTTGGTATCCAGCTGTTGGTTGATGCGAACAACCATCCACAAAAACATCTTCTCAAAAACAGATTTTGCCAGGGCACCCACTGAATTGTATACCTACAAAAAAGTAAAAGAATAGTTTCCATTAAGAACAAAAGAGGAAGCTCAAAGTTTTTAATTCATGTCATTTGTTTTCTGTCATCACTTGTTTCTTACCTGCTGCACAGTTTGACCCTTGGTCACATATTCATTCCCAACCTTGACTCGAGGGTAGCAGAGGGCCTTAAGCAGATCTGCTGAGTTCAGACCCATCAAGTAGGCAGCCTTATCAGCAACTAAGGAAACAAGCATATAGCAGGATCAAATATTAGCTCTCCAGTAGATATATCTTGTAGTAATTTCAAATCCTTTCTGCAGAAGTCACACATATTTTAGGTCACATACTTTTAAATATTGTAATTTTTCTTATTAACTGTTTTTTCCCCATTTAATTTAGATGATTGTTAAATGTAAAGACTCTTCCAAATGCCTTTACAATGAAAACGCAAATTTTGAAGCAAGTGATTAGACAGACAAAAGGGCAAAGGGTCATGAAAATGGCATGTCAAACAAGTCACATTTCCTGAATAAACTGCAAAAGGAAACTCGTTGGTAGTGAAATACACTGTACGGAAAATTTTAGTCAGTGAAAGTCAACTGTCATTAGAGAGACATAGATAGATTAGTGAAGTATTATCCTATTTATAATTTTGGCATATCTCATACAACTTTCATAGTGGGAACACATTCTCCCTAAGGATAAATATAACACACATAGGTCTTTTCCCCCTCTCTTTTTTTCTGAATCTAGACTGTTAAATACAAGAACTACAGCACTGGATGTACTCTGTCATCACTTTCCATTTTGCTGACTATCTCTTCTCACAGCAAAGATAATAGTGAGCACTAGTATTATTTACAGAGTCCTTTAATGTGAGAAGGCCAAACGTCACTATAGAATATATATACACAGATGCTAATTTTCAGCTGTTTCTACTGTGTGTTATTTACAACTAAATACTTAATGTACATTTACCACTGGAAAGATTAAGGTATGAAACAAGAACATTTCACTTTTGTAGAGTTAGTTTTTAATAATTAAATAGTCATCCAATTCTATTATACGCTACTATAACTCTTTGCTTTGACATATGCTAAACATATGAAATGAAAGGCTGTTTTTAGAAGTTCATCCTCAAACAATAAGTTTGGTATTTTACTTTCTGCTATTGCTTTTACTATTGAATTCAAACTCTGTCACCAGGCACAATATGTAAAAAGATTTGTTCAAGAATGCTTATATAATTCATACGAAATCAAGATAAAAAAGTATAGCAGATTGCTGCATGAATATTGACAAGATCTAACAGCCTGAAATTGCATTGAGAGATATTTAAATGAGAAATTGAGGAAAAAATTCTAATGACTAAGGGTAGTGAAGTACTCAAATAGATCGCATGTTTTCATCAATGTTTTCAAAAGAAGACAAAGAAAGATTTCACAGTAAATGAAGTCCCCAGGAGGTGGAGAAAATGAATGGCCACAGTCCTCTCCCAGCTTTTTTAGGAAATAAAAATAGCAAAATAAAAGATGACTTTGCCACACTGAGAAATTCGTCACAATTCAGAGTAATCCTCAGAAGAGGATTACAGTGTCTGTGAAACAGAACCGACTTCAGAGGAAACAGTGTTACATAAACTGTTCCAAATCTTTCCAAGATTTGGTCAGAAAAGTACCATGACTTAAGAAAAGTTACAGCTATTATTTGTAGCCTATTCTACTGTTACTGTTTGTCATTATCAGATTCATTGCCATTGTATTCCTTGTGGACATTTTCATTTATGTCTTAACTTTCCTAAAAAAAAAAAAACCAAACCACACACACAAAAAAACCCCTTAATAGTACATGTTTATGATACATGCAAGTATTTCTGATTTCATGGAAATACTTCCACGAACTTTTCAAGGAATACACCTTTGAACAACTCTAGGAAAGCAAACGCAATTGAGATATCTGAGCTGTCTATTTTTCAAACATAAGTCGCAAGAGACATACTGAGGCTCTACAGAAACTGTAGAGCATATGAGCCACAGCTGCAGCATTAACCGATGTTCCTTTTTAACCCCTCCATGTAAAATGAAGTAGCACAATGCTCTCAGTTCAGGTGTTGTGAGTTGTCTCCAGAATACGGGCTTTGAAGCAGAGCAGCTTTGGGATTCTGGCTTCTTGTCACCTGGAAACAATACCATTAGGAGGTGCCCGCAGCTGGTGGTAAGTGATAGTAGCTACCTGGGTACATAAACTAAAGCCAGTGAGCAGAGTGGCTCCCAGTCCTGTGCCAGGTCTGGGAAGCTGCTGTTCAGTATAGCAGCAAAGCTTGCTCTTCTGGAAGCGTGCTCTAGGGTTCACAGGCCCTTATACCTTGCACAGTTCAAAATAACCTGCATCTTCCACTGAGCTGTGTTCTTCCAGCAAAGTCCTCTGGTTAGGACACGCATATTCTACAATGCTAGCAGCTGGGGAAATGCTCAGGCCAAGTCAATGATTCTGACCCCAAATTACTGCCTGTATTAGTGAGTGTTCCGGTATATACTGTGCTCCGGTATATATCGTGCTGGTACCTTCTGTGCCGTCTGGCTCTGCCTGCTCCTCACGCTGCTTCTGCTTAAACTTCAGGTTGCCGTAGTGCATGACAGCCCCTGTCAGCTTGTAAATGGCTGTTTTCTCATCAGGAGTGAAGCCCAAGATGTCAATGGCACTCTAACGGAAGAATCATTGGAGTAAGTACCATGTGTGGTAAAGGTGAGAGTCCGCCTGGGAAAACTTCTGTGCGTTACTTACGTCCGTGGCCATCAGCTCTTCCTGATCGTTAATGCTGGGAACCGTGATCTCACCTTGACTCACATACTGATAGTCATAGGGGTTGGTGGTGATCAGTAACATCTCTGAAAAGAAGGACAAAACACGTACAGATCAAATGTAATTGGCACGTCAAGGAATTAAATGCTGTTCCGTGACTTTTGTCTGCAGAAGTCAGTGATCTTTCCTACCAATTAGCTCTGGCTTCTTGTTGGACATGATCTGATAGAATATGTGGTAGCTTCTTTCTGCCTTCAGCTGGAAAGTGACTCTGGACTTCTCCAGCAGATCTGGCAAGGACAGATCAAGGTAGGACAGAGTTAACGCAAGAGCTGAGGCAGGTTGGAAGGAACGGGGTCAGGCCAGAAGGGTCACTTACATGTTTCAATGTCAGCAGAAGCCAGTTTTCCTGTGGCCCCAAAATGGATTCTGATGAATTTACCCTGAAGGAAGCAGAAAAGTCAATTGAGATCTATTTTACCCATCCTGTCTGCAAGAATATTCGAGTCAGTATGTTGATTAGGAAAAAGTAATTTTGCCCCGGGCAGCAACTTACAAAGCGTGAGGAGTTGTCGTTCCTCACCGTCTTGGCATTGCCAAAAGCCTCCAGCAGTGGGTTGGCACTGATGATTTGATCCTCAAGTGTCCCCTAAGACAGAAATCTTATTGTCACGATATAGCGCATAAATAAATCTGACAGTTGCATGTTTCTACCCCGAGGACCTCACCTGCATTTTGCCCGTTGGCTGCTGCTCTTCCTTCTTCTTATCCCCGCTCGCTGCAATGGTTGCAAAGTACTGGATGACACGCTTTGTATTCACAGTCTTCCCTGCACCGGATTCTCCGCTGTCAAACCAAAGAGAGAAGCAGAGAGTGTGTGGTCAGGCAGGAGGTCCCCTGGCATTGGGCAGCCCCGCAGGGGCCCGAGCAGGGGGTGTACATACGTGATCAGGATCGACTGGTTCTCGCGATCTGTGAGAGAGGCAGAATGAAAGATGTGTTAGCAGTTGTCCTGAGTAACACGAAGATGAATGAGAAGTAAATCTTTAAATGCAAGTTGGGACTTCTCCCAAGTCCAAGAGTAGCAGTTCAATTAATCCAAGACTACCCAATTCCCTTCCAGGTTCCAACAGTAGAAAGTATATGCCGAAAAGGATGCATAGAGCTGTCAGAGGCATGTAGTCCTCAGAAAAGCTCTGTACCCACTTGTGCTTCACACAGTTCTCACCAAGAAATCTAAAATCAAACTGCCTATCTGCATTCAAGATAGAGGATCATATGCAATAATACTACTATCTATTCCCTCAGTGGAAAAAATAGCAAAGTCAAATAGTATTTCTGCAGTGGGAGAGTGTAGAATTTCATACAATAAAGTCCAAATAATACACAGTGCTGAGCCCATGCATGCTTCTGGGTCAGTTTCACTTGAAATTAATTCCTGCATAACTCAATCAAGTTCTCAGTCACACAGCTCCGTGGTGTTTTTAGCTGGCTCGTCACATGCTCCGGCAAGATCAGTGGGGCTTTTTGGTTTAGATTGCTGTGAAGGAGGTCAAGCACTTACCAGTCAGCATGAACTGATAGGCATTGTCAGAGATGGAGAAGATGTGTGGAGGGGCCTCCTGGCGCTTCTTGCCTCGGTAGGCCAACACCACCTCCGGGTTGTACACCGGCAGCCACTTGTAGGGGTTGACAGTGACGCAGAAGAGACCTGAGTAGGTCTGTAAGGAAGGAGTACAGGATGCTGATTTTGTAAAGCCGAGGAGAGTTACAGCTAAGGCAGATGTGAATGATGTTCTGAGGAGACTGGGGTAGTGAAAGAAAATAAAGTGGAGGAATGACCCATCAAAGAATGGGTGAGATACAGCATATAATAAGGAAAGGTAAAAGTGGGAAGGTAGAAGAAGAAGATGGAGCCAGCAAGAGAACATATACCAGAAAAAAAGAAGAAATAGAAAAATGAGGAAAGAAGAATGCAAGAAGTCAGGAAGCTCTTTAGGGAGACTGAAAGTTGTCTTCAACTCTTAAAAATCAGGAATTGTCTCCTTCTGCTGGTACTTACATAGATCATCCAGGCTGCATAACGCTCTTTGAGGTTGTATAGCACAGCGGGTTCATGGAGGTGGGTCATCATGGCCATGTCCTCGATTTTATCATACTTGGGAGGGTTCATGGAGAAGATTTGATCATCCTTCACAGTAAGAGTCTGCCAAAGAAAAGAAACATACAGATTTGCTCTCTAAAAGTTCACAGCAGGCTTAAATTATATTCACAAGCCTTGAACTTTTTTTTTACTCACTTCTCCACCTTCGGTCTTGACGGTGACCTTCCCTGCTTCTTTGCTCTGGATTGTGCTTTTCACATAGGATTCCTTTGCATGTACCACAAAGACGGATGACTTGGCATCGAACGGCTTGTTCTGGGCCTCAATTCTCTCCTTTTCTGACTTTCGGAGGTAAGGAGCTGCCTCCCCAAAGATGGCCATTTCAGAGTCTGATGACATGGCTGCTGTTTACTAGAGGTAATGCAGCAAGTATCTGTGAGGGTAGCAAATATATTACAATGGTGCATGTTGGAAGAAACACTCCTACAGCATAGTGTATTAGATGGTGCTCTGTTGTATGTATCAACTGATTGAATTGACTCTTTCCTTTTTCTGCTAATTCAGAGCTCTGTTCTATAATTATCTTTCCTTTATTTCTGTTTTATGTAGTCAGATCTCTATGCCTACTGGACGATGGCAATTACACAGGAATGCTTTCTGTGTTCTTTTCTTTTTTTTTTTTTTCCTGTTTGTTGAATTAACAAGATAAACAGATTGTTTCCAAGGTTCCAAACACTGCACTCACTAGATATTTCCAGTTTTAGAATTCTGAAAGTCCTCTTGTGTCTCTTTTGTTTAGCACCTTTCAGACTGTGAGATTTGTTTACAAGAAAAGACTGGAAGAGGTCAGTACACTGAATATGCAGAGAGCTAAAATTATTAGCACTTCTCATTAAAGACATTCCCTTGGGATAAAATAGCCCAAGTTGTCAAATATTTCAATTATTCCACAGATCCACCTGCTAATAAACAAAGCTGATATTCTCCACTTTGATCTTTTTCATAACAGAAATTGAGTTATCTTGCATTCATGCACTACTATTAAAAAAATAATTATATGTAACCCTGTTTATTATTGCCAATTGTCTTGACTGAAAAGTTTCATGCAATTGTGAAGCTGGAATTAAGGTAAATTGTTAAATTAATACTGTTTCAAATGTACCCTTTCTTTTAACCTAATTTTATCTAGCTTTATCAACTGCAATTTGAATTTTGAGTAGCTTTTCTGAATAAACTAAAAGAAGCTTATTTCTCTAGCAATACTTTCACCTATGGCAGACCTCTGGGGGAAAATCAAATAATTGATTAAGTTTTCCTTGAGAAACAATTTCACTTTGATTGCAGGAAAGATATTCTGAACTTAGAATGTTTTTTTTAACTCTTTTCTGGGTCCTTTACCATTTAGCAACCTCATTATTGTAGTATGGCCAGTGCAACAGAAGTAATATTTTAATAATTATCACAGTATTTTTGTACATTACAAAACTTGTTCCACTCAGTATTCCACTGCTTACACGTGAAAAAAATTGCTTTGCATTCTTAGCCAACAAAGACATAATTTATGATTGTGTCATAAAGTGTTATCAGTTCAAATGCATGGGTACAATTCCCTGACTGATGGTTTTCTTTCTAACTACATGATTTTTCACTTCATTAAGTGTTATTAATCAAATGAGACGATTTCACAAAATAATTACATAAGGTTGTAAAATGGACCTAGTCTTTCACCAGCAGTTTTAGCACTGCGTATAACATCTCACACTTTCTTACAAGATTCCTAACAGGAATTACACTAGCATATTATGCATATTAGCATAAGCTATGTTATATATATACACAATAGACTTATTCAAAGCATGGTGACATTTTATAATTTTGAGGGATATATTCCAGTGACAATATTTGACCAAATAAATATAAATCAATGCAAAAAGTAAATATGAACAGTCAATTTTTCTGGGTGCAGGTATTTAAAAATTTGAATTTAGTTGCTGTTCAATGTCTCTTTTTCTAGTTATCCAAGTAGGTATCTTTCTTTCTTCATTTCCCCATGATTGTTAATATTTGCTTATATAATTATATCACAATTGTGCAATATTTTAATAGGCACAAGCAAGTTTATAAGGAAACTCAGACTGAAAGGCTTTCTTTTAGCACTTTTTGATGTTTTGATACACAACATTCTAAACCCACTCCCCAAGCTTCCCTGTGAAAAAAGAAAATATTAACATTATTTAAAGATATGTCTTTTCATGTGTCTTCCCAGCTAGTGCCAGTGACCCTTGATGGTTGAGGAAAATGAGAAAGAAAAAAAAAAAAAAAAGATAATTGTTTGCTTCAAGAATATATTTAATTTATGGACAAGTAATTGGAAACTACTTCCTGATGTGTTTGTTTGTTTTTTTTTTTCTTAGGACAGTTTATCCTGAGCCTAGGACCTAATGCCTGCTAATGTAGGAAGCCAATCTCTATAGAAGAATCCTGGGGAGAATGTAGGCAATGCAGCAGTGATCAGTACTTTTAAGACCACTGTCTTTAAGAATCTTGTGGCAAAGATATCAGCCATCCAGCCTAATTCTTGTACTGTATGTATACAATGGACATAAATATAAAGAATACATCTTAGAGCATCTCTATCTGTCCCTAAAGAGTGAATAAATCAAGATCTTACCTTTTGTGAGACAAGATGAATGGCTTTCAGACTGGAAGCTAGTCAGTACTGTAAAACAGAATTAGCAACTCCCTTCTTACTGCTGCACAGAATTCCAGAGAAAATTTATAGACAGAACACATATGGAAGCCTTGAAAGCAGGCTGAAAATCGCAGCTGACACTGGCAGTCCCCCAGTGAATGAATGAGTGTCTGTAGGAATGTACTGGTGCTTCTGGAATGCAGGGCCAGTTTCCCTTCATCCCCCACCTCCCCAGTCCAAAGCTTCTGACACACTTACCTTAGAGATTTCTGAGGAAGGACAAGACACACTGATCCCACGATACTTTTATACAGTCCGATCTGCATACGTAGCCACCACCTCCTCTTTCTTGGGTCAAAATAATTTTGGCAATCTTAACTCCTAGCAGAATTGCCATTCATACTAGAAATGAACAGATATATTTAGACATAACAGGTCTGTGAATCAATCTCCTATAAATAATTTTGACAAGAGAGCCTGAGAAGAGGGTAAGCAGGAGGGTGTGCTAAAGGAGATGAAAGGGGCTACGTTGGTACTGTAATCCATCAGATGCTGACTCAAGCAGAGAAAGTGAAGAGTAAGAGCCAGTGTATCATAATAGGAAACATACAGGGACGGAGAAGGGAAGGCACAGGCTCCTGCATGCTGCAAATGCTCTGAGCCTGAAATGTGGAAAAGGATGAGGGGTCCTACTGACATGTGGGGTCATTGTTAGAAGAAGGAAATCCCAATGCAGGAGGAAACACCTGAGTAGGAACAGAAGTTGCAGGACTGAGAATCAAGGGATGATATGAATGACCAAGTAGTAAAATACATCAAAGCTAAATTGAGAAGGGGAGGAAGCGTGAGTCTGAAGGTAATGATAAGAAGGATATGTGATTAAGGAAGAGGAAGTAAATAGGGGTGTGATTCCAAGAGGATAACAGCAAGTCACCATGGACAGAAGGGCAAAACAAGTTCAGTCTGGAGTTGAAGGCAGAAGACTCTAAGACTGAAGTCACCAAGTTAGATCGCAGAGAAAAGACATACAAATCCAACTCTTGTTTCTGGGGCTGAAGGGTTTCAAAGGTCATATGAACAGGACCATGGAACCATTGTACTAAACTTAAGGCCTGTATCCCACTGGAAGCAGGAGAAATAAGTGCTCTCTCAACATAAGGGAGTCATTCAGTACTACTTTTGCAGTATAAGTGTGCTAGATGGCAGGAAGGATTTCCATTCTCTAGGAGAGGAACAGTCATGTCCTGTGCTAGTCTGGGAGAGAGGCTGGTTAGAAGGAGCTGAATCCCATGCTAGTATGTGAAAAAAGCCAATCTACTGTGCTCATCCCTGGGATGTTCCCCACCCAGATTAAGGAGGGGGTTGCACATGTTATGTAACAACACAAGATGGGGAGTGGTGAAAAGGGTAGTGGAATTGCTTTATTGAGAAAAAACTTCACCCCCATGCAACAGATCTCGAGTATTTTTTTTCATGTGTTCGTCTTAACTTGCCAAATTTCCTATGACAGACAAAGCAATCTGAACTGAATCAAATCTCAGCAGCTTCACCTGATCCCATAGCATACTGCTTCCCCACTTACAGCACCTGTTGTGTTCCACTCCCTATTAACATCACCTAATCATAGGTCTGGATAAGAAAGTGAGGAAATTCCTTCCTCCTCTTCTCTCAGCTGACTGCGTCTCTGTGATGGCACTGTAATCCTGGATGTGAGGAGCAAATTAGCAGACGTGAGCTTCACATTTGGAGTAAATTCACTCTGAAGAATAAGCCTCTGGTTTAACTCTAACAGCTACACCCTCACCTGTGTGGGTCTAGCTGTTCCAGCACTTCTTTTGTCTTTAATGCAATTACATTGCCTGAGAACTGGAATTCACTGTGAATTTCAGGTATTTCAATGACTCTGTATGTTGTCTCATTTTGCTGGTGTATGCAGTTTTCACCTGCATTAAAACTGGCTATAAAAAAAAAAGAAAAATACATGGTTTTCCCACAGTCATATGTAATACTGGCATAAAGCTGACAGCTGACTAGAAGACTTTATTTGCAAGATATTTTTCAAATAGAAAAAGAATCATCCATAAGTTTTTGAAGACTTGAAAGGATTTAGGAGAAGTAATTTTTCAAAATATTTTTCAAAATTACCCTGGAATTAAAAATTTCTACAACCCGTAACATTTTGCTTGTTCTGTTTCCCTTATTATTTTTCCTTGCTCCTGTTTGCATTTATGTTGCTAGCCAATGTAACAGAATACAACATGGCTGTTTGCTTTCTATCTCTATGTATTCCTGCTTTTGCTTTTTCTTTTTTGTAATTTTAAGAGCAAAGTTTTCTTAATTTGGAAAAACTCTGTAGCTGTCAAATAAAACTGAAACTGTGACTTTCTGAAATGGAAAAACTTGGAAAAAATATGGACAAGCTGGAGGTCAAGAAAAAAATGTGCGTGTATTAATTAAGCCCATATATAAGTATATAATTTGTTTTGCTACCTTTGGTAGTAAAAGAAAAAAGGTCAAAATTAAAAAAAAAATAATTGTGGCAGCTTATAAAAAACACATTTTTTTCTTCCTCCAAAATGTCAGGAAATCTTTTGCTTTAATACCATGATTTTGTTTCCGTCAGGCAGAATGAAAACAGCCACAAGTTTTCATAGACTTTCACATAAGACATTTTAGCATTTTTTTGCCAGCTATAACATTATCTCAGGGCCTCCCCTTCTCTACCAAATCCACTGCAACCCCCTCCAAACTACCTGCACAAGTACAGCCCTCCTACTGTGAACATGTACACCCCATTTACTCAAGTCTTCCATCAGCAACAACCCTTCACAAAAACTTTATGCAAACATACCTAGGCAAATGTTTGAGGCATTTATAAAGGAGAAGATTTGCTTATTGAATATAATGGCAAAAAGTATGCCAATAAAAATTTCTCCTTTGTATTACAACTAGTTCATGCTTTACCTTTATACCATGTTCAGTTGAAGCTAACAATGCAGCTTTCCAAGAAGCTAACAGTGATAAATTGTAATCCCCGATAAATGTCAGCCAGAGAGCAAGTGCGACTGATCATGCTCACTAAGTAAACTACTACAAACTGAAAGGGCATAAAGAGTACCTTATATGTGATACATTCCAGAAAAAAAGAATAGATGTGTACAGAGGACAAAATAAATTATTTTTCATTTTAGGCATACTCCATAACTTTTCTGGGTGTCTATTGATGTCACTGATACCTTCCTATCTACCATCACCAGTACTACATAGGCAATGTCATTTCTGACTGGCAGAAGAGAGGACCAAATAAGCATCATGCCACATTATTTTTTTTCATCCCCTACCTCTGACAGGCTCACCCCATGCTCCCCTCACTCATCCTGCTGCCCCAACACAGAGTTTGCAGCCAACGTGGATGGGCATCATGTCTAAACAGAAGACCCCAGAGGCAGCGGCTGCAGTGTGGATGGTATGTGGGGCTCCAGCAGTGAGACCAGCATCCATCCTGCCATGCAGCACTGCCACAAGGACAGGCCTGACACTGGCGGGGCCCTGCGCTGGCTGGTGGGGCCCTCAGCCTGCCTGAGCCCGTGGCATGCTGTGCCATGGGTGAGAAGACCAGGCCAGAGCCAGACCAGGCCAGAGCTCAGGCAGGCGCTGGGTGTCAGGCATCCCGGGCTCTGCCCCTGGTGACCAGGGCCTTCCCCCCTCTGCACAGGGTGACTGAGCCTGAAGAAATGGTGAAAAGACAAAAGACACTATTGAAATGTCCAGAGAGCTGAATAGACCAGCGACAGGGGTTTTATAACCAGCTTGTAGCTGGCATTCACTGGCCTACCTCCCTGCACTCTTCTCCTGGCTCCTGTCCTCAAGAGCCAACCAGGGCGGTTGCCATTGGCCCTCAGGAGGAGGCAATGTGAGGCACTGATGGAAGCTTCCCATGTCTCCTGTTTTGCTCCACCACCAGCTGCCAGCCTCCCACTTATCTCCTCACATGCCCTGCTTTTGTGGTAGAGGAGTTGAATGTAGGTGAGCAGCTACAGGGGAAAGTAAAGATGATCTCTCTCCTGGTGCACAGCAAAACGAGGAAGTGCATTACCAGAACAGCTTGTTCACCGCCTGCCACCCTTTCTGAAATGTGGCTGGTACCGAAAACTGTGATGTACTAGTGGAGGTCTGTGATGAACCCTTAGAATAGCAGGGCATACTACAAATCCTGCAATGGGTGGTGCTTATTCTCACTGCAGTAGGGTTGTGTTTAGTATTGCCAGTGTCACACTGAAAACAAGTGTTGCTCATACAAAGGGTACCAAAATAAACCAAAGGGTTCAAGGGGACACTAAAAGCACCAGAGGTACTCAGCTATGGTGGGTACTGAACTAGCATTTCTAAAATGGACAGAGTAGTGTCCTTTCCTAACTCCAGCTGTCTTCTGCTGCTCAAATGTTATTTACATGTTTTATTAAGAACCCTTAGCATTTGAAGACAGTGTTTTTTTACAGCACTTGAAGGCTGGCTGGAGGATTAGAAAAGATATCCAAAAAGGACACATGAAGGTCAGCTAGGGATTGAGAATTCTGGCGGGATGGCCAAAGATGTTTAGCACTTGCTTTAAATAAAGAACAAGTTTGAGGTAGCTGCTAAAGCTTGTCACATATGCCAAAAATACTAAACAAGTCTGTCTCACGCTCTTTCTCTGTGGCTTGGCAATACCAAATGTATTCAGCTGTAACAGGAGTCCATTTACAGCTTCACTTCTAATTTACTGGAGCCCTTAGACACATTGAATGTATTCCCAAACCATCTAATCTACTCACCTGTCTGTAAAGTGTGATTGGCACTTAGACACCTTACAGAATCAGTGCTGTACTTTATCTTGCAATCAACATGTAAATGTTGGATGTCTAGTTCATCTTAATGCAAAATACTATGTTTTGGGCTAATAATCTGTTCTTAGTAAAACGAACAGGCCCACTATGTTGAGAATGACAATAAACAGGCAAGAGAGTTAGCCTGTGGACAGAGGAAGGCAAGTGGAAGAAGTGACAAGAGGAGAGG